CAGAATCTGTCTCAACTGGATACATATAATCCAGAGCAAATTGGAAGGTAAAGCCACTAAGAAAGCAAAGAAGGTAGCTCGTTCCCAAATCGTGTTCAGGCTGTTTCTGGGCTGAAAATAAGCTATATGCTGCTACCATAACTATTGTGCCCAGGAAGTATACACACGCCGACCGCAGACAACAGCGGGGGACGATAAGTGCAACAAAACTGTGCAACATGGTTTGAACATACGCGCTCGCATGCCATAGCAACGACAGCCTCGATACCCGGCGTTGCAGTCTCCTCAGGACGGGCGGCGTCGGCCCTGCGGCTGTAACACAGGTGGTTGCCAATGAGCAACCAAAAAGATGACGCATCTTGACGAAGGTGGCTGATGAACTAGGTAAATCGGCATATGTGTTTAATGCAGCGCAAAAGTAACCCAAACATGGCCTTAATCTGAAAAGTGTGGGGGACCAGACCACTGCGGCCCCCTCACCTTGAAAAGTGGAGGGCGCCATGATCCCCTGCCCCCTCCCCCCTGTTCTTACACCCATGATGTACCATAATTAGTACAAAAATTGTATGATATAGCACAAAGTGGACAAAGTCCAGCACAAAGGCTGGCAAAAATAGCCAAAATTGCAGGTCAAATCATCCGAATTTTCAGATAGCACAAAAGTACCATCAGCCATCGTAGATGCCCGCAAAGTAGTAGAAAATGAACATTTTAGCACAAATTGAACCTTCTTTAGCACCTAAAGAGTTGCAGCCAATTTAAATGCATCGCCTCGCAATATACTTATGCATTTCTACAACTATGACGCATTTGAGACTAATATGGTAAATGCACTCGTGCCATCGGGTTTTCATAGGTTTTGAACGGGACGCTGGCGTCACTGGTAGCAAGCTTCTGATGCGTCGGCCGCCAGCCGTGAGGAGTAATGATGCGTGGACAGCCAGAACACCGAAAATCCTCGCACTGATAGTAATAAAATGTTCACGAAAGCTGCATATGACCAGCAAGCTGATCACGTGGAGGCTAGATTTGAAGAAGCTCGGCTCCGCACACAGGAGCGGACCGAACACGGCCGGCATTGCAGACAGGTACAGACCGAGCACGCCAATATGTAGGCATTAGGCAGGTACGGACTGAGCACGAATAGCCCCATTGACAGGTACAGCCCGAGCACCGTCAAACCAATGTAGGCAGGCATGGGCGTAGGAGCAGGGGGAGGTGTCCGGGGGCCAATGCCCCCCCCCCCCCTTTCAAGGTGGGAGGGCCAGCAATGTTAACTGGCCTCCCACGTTTCAGATTAGGTTGCATTTGGCTTAATTTTGTACTACATTAAGCATGCATGCCGATTTATCTAGTTCACCAGCCATTTCCCTTAAGATGCGTCGTCTTTTTCGTCCGCTCGCTGGCCATCGCTTAGTGTTACAGCCGCAAGGCCGACGCCGCACGGCCTGGAGACTGTAACGCCGGGTGTCCAGGCTGTTATGATGACTTGCGAGCGTTGTTCAAGACCACATTGTTCATGTTCAAGACCACATTACGTAGTTTTCTTTACAATAATCAGCTCTGACAGGATCTTGAGCATTTTAAGACGAACATTGGTAAGCCATGTTAATACAAATTAGGAACCCCATTCCCTGTACCATCTACAGTCAGGGAGAATTCAATATCTCTGAAGAACACAGTAAAACACAGAACTGGAGTCTATGCGACAACTATCGGACTACCTGCGGTGATCAGGGGTGTTGTCGCATCAATGGGGGTTCCTGTGCTGGTCCGGAGCCAACTGCGCGGGTCAGAACGCCTCCCGTGTCAGGGATGGGAACAATGTGCTATGATATGTCCCTCTAATGGCCTCCGGATCGACCAGAAGATCCCGCCCCATGCCACCAGAATGCTAGCCAGAAGACACTTCGCGATTGGATGGAATGGCCCTTCAGCCCTTGATCGGAAACGGTAATGTACCCCTGGTGTTCTACTCAAGAGGCCCATGGACCGGAAGGAAATAAGGGATCTCATTGTTGTTGAGTAAATGGATGTGTCATTATCTTTTAATAGGCTGGATCGAAATAAGCTTAAGAAACGAGCAAGGTCATGCCATGTTTGCCTGAGAACGTTCATTTTTTCAGAATGCATTATTGAAAAAAATTACATCAAAAGGCTTGAACATGCTTGCCCACAACCTCGAGAGCAAGGACAAGGTTGGTCTGGGTTGCAAATTCCGTAAAACCGAAAAGTTGCGGCCACTGCAAGTGCCACCAGACGGCGGGTGCCGTGTTAATCTGTCTTCTGGATAGATAAATAGCTGTAAACACGAAATATAAAGATTTTACCCTGACTCTTCCAGTTCAACCACCGGATTCCAGCCCCATTTCGCGGTGCTTTAACACGCGCCCGGGTGGCCAACTAGATACCCTCCTTTCGAATGGGGATCACTTTGACCCCCCCCCCCCTGAGGTCTCGAGAACTAAGAAAGCTAGAGGTACCAAATTTACAGGGTGTGTTTACCTGTGCGTAAACTCACTTATGTCCAAGTTTCATGTTCTTAGGTCATGACCTTCAGGTCACAAAAGGTCAAACAAAGTCAAGTTCTAGGTTGGTCTCCCAAAGTTCCCCAGAACCTAGATCACCGTTCACCGTTTCTTAGCTGAAGGCCACATTCTCATTCAAGGTCAGTAACCTTGTTTGACCGTTTGAAGGTGAAGATGACCAAAATCATAGAAGATTGCTTTGGGTTTTGCATTTGACTAAGCGACAAAGATTACGCTAGGCAGTATGTTCCTAAAAAAAATGTTGACCTGGGTCATTGCAAGTCAATGACCTATTCTGACCTCTAAGAAGTCTATGGAAGATGAACAATGCGGTTCCTGCTATCAATAAACTCAAAATGAGCGCCAGAAACTATCCCATACAGTAAGTCCTAGAGTAACAACACAGGTTGGTTTTGACCTTGGTGTGACCTTCATATCTGACCTTAGGTCAATGTAATTTGCTCATTCAACTGTTGTGTTGCCTAAGAAAGCATCTCAGAGATTTATGGCTTCGTCTAACACTCCGTTGTTGCATCACATTGAAAGATCCCCTAGAAATTGCCTTCATTGAAACCATGGTCTGAATTTGACCTGCCATAGGTCACCAACCTTTACAAAGAACATCTAAACTTTGGGATGCCAAACGATCTGCTATTCAATTGTCTACAGCTACGGAAAATTTGACGCGGCTACGCCGCGCCGTTCGGAAACCATTCTGGAAAAACCTTCGGGAGGGTCAATTTTACTCCTGACCTGCGCTCGTGTTACGGACCAATCAGTTCATTTCATCAGTCTTAAAATTGTACACTTGAGATATGCGCTCAGACTTCCTTCTTATTCTAAGATCTGATGTCATGAAGCGTTTAAGGATACCTTTTCAGAAGCTTCGTCATTTTCGTCCCCTCGTTGGCCACAACTTAAGATTAGCTCCTAGGTCGACGCTGCGCGGCATACGGAGACTGCAACGCCTGGGGCCGAGGTTTGTGTTTCGGAGATTTTCGAATGCGCATGCTCGAAATTACGTCTCATAACTTGTATTACCAGTCGAATAAAGTGTTTAAAGGCAATCAGTCCAGAAGCGTCATTATTTTCGTCCACCGGTGGGCCACGAAAATATATTAGCTACCGGGTTAGCGCTTCGCGAGCTTTGGAGACTGCAACGCCTGGTGTCGAGGTTTTTGTTGG